AGTAGTTGGTTCCTAAACACCAACCCATTTGTGTGCAGAGTTTATGCTGATCAGCATTTTTTCCCCCCCAAGCACACCACATTCTGTGGATCCTCCCTCAGTCCGCTTCCTTCACATCAGCTGATTTGGTCGACCATTTTCCAGAAAACGAGTTAAGACATACACCTTGTTGATCTACGGTCGCTGATTTTTAGAAGTATTTTTGTTTTCCATCTTTAAAGTGCACCAACACATCTTTACAATGAATCCATCTGTATGCTTCACGTTTTTTTATGTGCCGTTTTAAATAACAGAAAACTGAAAAGTTAACTTTTTAAGGTTTGTGTTTAAACCAATTTATTTTTATGTATTTTTGTGTCATACTTTGCTAAATATGTTATGAAGGTTATTTAAAAAAAAATCATATTATTAAACTTGAAACTGTCAAAAATAAGCTAAAGAGACAAAACTATAAAAAAAAAAGACCATTTCCAGAGGTTTGACTTTCCGCTGGCTCTGTTTAAAGGTGCTTTTCTGACAGGTGAACCTACCATCCCAAATTAATCCAGAACTCCCATTTTGAAGCTATTATAAGAGATGATAAACTCTTGTCAGATAAGCTAAACAAAATGGAAAAAAAACACAACGAAAAAGTTAAAGTAGTGCACTCTTATGCAGAGGTCGTCTCGAATCGTAAACTTCCCAGTTAAAGCCTGACATTAGAGCAATTGTCATCACTGCCTCAGAACATCCAACATGTGTCAACATTTGTTTTATTTATACATACATACATACATGGATACACACATACATAGCCTTAAGCAAGCTTGTGACCTTCAAGATTTGTTAGCACAGATTGTACGTTTACCGACGGACACGTGTCTTCTTGGTGCATAGAGGATAAATGAGCCCCTTTATTACCCCGGGGTTGCATGCCTGTTTGGGGTTAGTCTCATGCTGGTTAAACACATACCAACCATACATTCACACGGCACATACATGAACTAAAATACTCATCTAAATGTCTTCCACATTTAGATACAGCAGACATTTAGATGAGGTGTGTGTGTGTGTGT